TATGGGATGGTTCTGTCCAGGCAGCATCGTAATTGCTAAGCCAAGCTCCTACCCTGTTTAAGTATTTTAACAACTAGTTGTGATGAACCAGTGCAGACTTGCTGAATACCTGTCCTTTCTGTTCTCAGATGAACAAGCCCAGTGTAAGACAGAGATCCCCTGGGCATTCTGACTTTAAAGACACAAGTCCCTCCCAGACCCTGGCCATTGCCTGAGCCCGCTCTCTGTCCTGTCCTTTGGTGTTCTCTCAGACACCCACAGGCTCCAGGCTGCAGAGGGACCAGTTTGCGGGGAGGTACTGAGGGCTGGTTGTGCATCCGGCAGCCTTCCAGGTCTGCCAAGGCTGCGTTGAGACTTCCTTGGGAGGCAGGGCCAATGCATTCAGAATCCCTTGTGGGACCTCTGCCATGAGAGGTAGATCCTTGCAAGGTCCAAAATGCCTGGTACGTAACCACATCCACAGATTGCACTGGGCTCAGTGTTCTCCCAGCTGCAGGTGCCAGTCCCACCAGACCTCAGGGCACTCCATCCGAGGCAGCCAGGGAAGCCTGCTGCAAGGCAGAGGACCAGGCTGCCCACGCTGGCCACTGAGGGTCTCCGGCTCATCACACAGCAGTTCCTCCTTCAATCCCTCTCTTTTTATTTCAAGGTTGTGGGACGCAACTGGTGTTTGTAGCATCTGAACTGGCGCTGTTCAAAAACCGATGTGGACTTACTTGCATTGTGTGGTTCCTGTTCAAAGGGCCTCACAGAGAATAAACAAAAAAGAACACTCGCCAGAACTGCCCTTGCAGATCTGTGGGACTGTCGCCGGGAGGGATATGAGGTGTGTGTGTGTGTTAGACCCTTTAGGTTTCTCATGCCCTTTCTACTTTCTCATTTAAAAATGTGGTTCAAGATATCTGGGTAGGTAGAGTTGAGGAAGGTGGTAAGAATCTCGGTGGAGATCACGTTTTCTTGTTTGGTTTGCAAACACCCCAAGATTCCATTCTGAAATGAGGCTGTACATCATTCTCTGTACCTATCATGGGATCTGAGGGTAGCTGTTCCCACTGTCCTCTGCCCGTCTTATGCCAGACCTAGGTCACCCTGGGGCTGGCAGGGAGCACAGGGAAGAGGGGGTTCTTTCTTGGCCCAGTGTATCCCCTGGGAGTTGGAGTGGGGCTCTGCAGGTGTTGCCAGTCAGCTTCAAGGTAGAATGTACAGTCTGGTTTTTGCTGGCTAAGGGGCAGGGAGGGGCTGTTACACTAAGGTGGCTGTGCCCCAGCCCACTGCTCCAGCCGCAGGGTCCTACTTCTCCTCTCTGGTGTGTGACCATTTTCAGTGAAAGCATGAAGGGTGGTTGCTGAGTTTATGCCCATCCAGGAGTAGAGGGGTATGAGGTTCCAGGGACCATGGCTTTGTGAGACCTGCTGCCCTGCCCAAGGCCCCTTTGCAGCCTGGGCAAGGCAGCGGCTGCCTGTTTAGCATTGCTGTGTTTATAAGCTAATGAGGGCAGAGTGTGAGCCACAGGCGATGATGCTGGGATATTAACTGTGACAGGAAGCTTGATCATAATTATCTTAACGAGGATAGGGTTAATTACAGTGGAAACTTAAAAGTTGTCTCTGTTTGAATCCGCTGGAGCCCAATGCGTTGTGATGTTTTGTCATTTTGATGTGTCTTTGGAGAAAGCACTGGGACCCTCCCCACAGCTGCAGCTGTTCCAGGGGGAGTCCAGGCCCAGCCTTGTGACCAAAGTAGCTGAACCAGTATCTAGGGGTGGTATCAGGGCTGTTTTTCTGCTGGGGAGGCAGGAAGCAGGCAGTCTACAACATATTCCAGGCAAATTGGCAGTTGCATGTCCCGTTTTCTGGGTGGCCTTTGGTGGCTTCCGGCCAGTGCCGACCTCTCTGCAGCTGGCTGCACCTGGGCCCCAGGTACATGTCTGCCTTCTGGCTCTCGACATCGCAGCCACTCCTAAGGGAGCTGATTCATGACCCTGGCTTGGCCATCGCTGCTCCACCAGGGATTCTTTGTAGGGTGTGCTTGTTGGCCACACGCAAGGGTAGAGCAGACATTACAGTCCTGCAGTGTTGTTCCTGTCCCCGTTGTTGCTACCGAGTTAAGCGGCCTAGGTCTGTGTGTGTCATGTAAGCCCTTGGCCCTCTTACGTCACTGAAGAGCACAAATCTGTTTGCAAGTATCTGGTATCCTCCTGCAGGGTGTGAACTCAGAGATGGATGTGAATCAGTTCTCTCCTTCTCCTTCCTGGACCTCAAACAACAAACAGGAGCAGGAACATTTCAAGAAAATAAACAGTGACCCTAACTTGCGGGTAGATTTCTTGGTCTCCGCCCAGCAACTGATTCCTACAAATTCTGCCCTTTCCTTCCACTGCTGTCTCCCTCAGCTCTAGAATCCAGCTGACTAAATCACTAGGTCTGCATCACATTGCTGACATGACAACAGGGATGTATGAATTAGCAGCTGCTGACTTACGGGCCTCCCTTACACGGCGTAAGGAATCGCGAGAGCAGACAGGTGACAGCGGGGCTGGAGACACTTCTGGCTGAGGTTTCATTCTGTGTGGAGCTCAGCCAGCGCTCGCCCCGTGGGGCTGTGTCCTCTCCGTGGGGGTGGCACCGTTTGCCCTTCCCCGTGCCGGTCGCTCCGCGTTCTGCGTGCCCTGAAGCACTCCTGGGGGTGGGGAAAGCTTTCTTGTGTCTGCCAGTTGCCGGCCATTTGCTGGTCCTCAGGAGAAGCGTGTAATATTTGCATAACATCCCGGGAACAATGGGGTGTGGATGTGGCTTTTGAGCAGAGCCCCACTGATGTTGGCGTACAAAGGACTGATTAGCGGCCCTCGTGGCAGGTGGTCTCAGCCCCGCTCACTCATGGCAAAAACCCGGCCTGATCCTGAGAAGCACTTGTGCTCACAACTCCTCTGAAGGAAGGGATGAAAAGGCCTCTGAGGAGTCTGCATGCTGCAGTTGGAAGGAACTAGAAAATGCACGCATGCACACACGCACACACACAGGAGCGCACACACACAGGTTTTCCACATTATGCATTTTCCCACAGACTTTTTGAAGACCCTTCAGAAAGGTTTGTTCTTCTGCCGACCCTCTAAGTCCTCAACACATTCCTCAAGGTCAGGATCTCAGGAAACATTGAATGGAAGGGGGGGGAGGCAAGGAGCTGGCATTTGCCGTGACTTCATGCTCTTTTGCTTATTCTACCCTGAGGCCCTTTGAGCAGGAAGACGCATAGAACGAACTAGTGAGTCCAGGATCAGTTTTTGAACGGCTCAGCTTCATATTCCACAGACGTGCTGGAGCTGGGGTTCAAGGCCCAGACCTGCCTGCTCGGGTGTGTGCCCGTTGGGACTTGCCTCCCAGAACTTTGCAGAGAAAGGGAAGAGGAAGCAGGCACTGCAATGGGATGAACCCAGGGCCCTCCACAGGCAATGTGGGCGGCCTGGTGCACCTGCCTTGGGGTGGGCCACTCTGAGTGCTGGGGCTTGGGTGGGGCCTGCTGAGGTCTGGCAGGAACGTGGCGTGCAAGCAGAGCAGCCCTGGGCCCAATGGACTGTGCAGATTTGAGGACTTATAAGGCATGTTTCTCCTGGGGCGGGAGGGGTGGGATGAACTCTCTGGTGTGTAGCCCCATAGCAGAGGTCCCAGCAGGGAGCTCAGGGTGCCTTAGGGAGCTCTGGCCCAAAGGCCACACTCAGCTGTGCAGACAGGGTGCTGGGACACAAGCACTGTCAGTAAATGGATCAGTCGTGCTGCCGACTGCCTGATCTGTCACATTTTACAGGGATCCCGGGCAAGTCCTGCCTCTGCTCGGCACCGTAGCTCAGCTGTCAGCCTGTGCAAGCTCAGCACATCTCTTGGGTCTGGCAGGTGCAGGAGCTGGGAGTCCGTCTCTCTCTGTAAGCAGGGGCCTGGCTTTAATTAACGTCTGTGTGAGCCTGGGCAGGCACTTGCGCCCCACTGCCCGGTTACCACAACACCCCTGAGAGCCCATAAAATTAAGAGTTCACTTTCAGCTCCATGCATAAACAATGCTATTTCCCCAATTCTAAAACATACATACATGTATGCATACATCTATTTATATATATGTACATAGATATAATTTTTCCCCTGAGCTTGGTTCTTGATTCTTTCAGATGCGTTTTTACAGCTTCAACCTCTCCACTGCTACAGTCAACTTTTTTTTTTTCAAAATAAATAAAGTGAAAAATCCACTTTCCATAAATTAAAAACGAAACTTCAATCCGGCAGCTCTGAAGGCCCGAGTTCCCTTCCCTCAGCCCTAAACAAAAAAAAAACAAAAACAAATAAAAGAAATTCCGCAGAGCCAAGATTAGCGCTCACACTGCTTAGGTAATCCCGCAGATGCCTGGTATTTTGGGGCAGCCATGGGGAACCTGGGTAGAAGCAAATTAAGTGATTAGTAACGAAGGGGGGAAAAGGCAGAGGATGTAAGAAGACCGGGAAGGAACAAGAGCCTGCCGTGTGCCGGGGAGAACCGCTACGAAATGATACTTGAAGTTATATTTATTATTGTAAGAGGGGTATGATATTTCTGGGCAGAAATGATGGATGACAACTTAAATTTGTGTCCAGGGAATGAAGGTGAATGGTGACACAGTTATTTATCTTGGGAATGGAAGTTAGGGTCAGCCCAGGCTGGGTGCCTGGAGGCACAAGACATTGACAAATTTATCCTGCAGGCCGTTTCTGAAGCCCTTTGTTTTGGATCCTGGCTACTCACTAACTGACCCTCATCCTTCATGTCGGCAATGCGTGAAGGATGCCAGCGGCCCCCTTCTCCCCCGCCGCCCCCCACCCCGGCTCCCGCTCCTAATTCTTGTCATTCACTTTGCTGACAGGCGCCAAGCCCAGACTATTCCCAGTCCTGAAAGGGAAGGTTAAAATATTTATTTCGGCTCATAATGGCCTCCCTGATTTAGTGCGGGATCATTTTTCCTGTTGCCTTTGTCATTGCAGGTCACTGGAAGGACTGAGAGCGTTCGGGAGCCTGGAGGAACTCATCTTGGACAACAATCTGCTGGGGGACGACCTCGTGTTGCCAGGGTTACCGCGGCTCCATACCTTAACCCTCAACAAGAACCGAATATCCTTTCCCCCGCTGCTCCCCGTCCGGCCCCACCGTGGCCCCCGCCCCCCGCCCCGACACAAATACCTGCGAAATGTCAAAAGGAGAGTTTTACGTGTCCGCCAGATTAAAGTATGTGACACGCAGTCCCGCGGGCAGACAAAGCGCTCTGTCTTCTGGCACTCGGGACACTTCAGAGTAATTTATTAGAGGTCATTCATAAATGAAATGCACCATTATATCTTCCTGTTGCCCCGTTTTAGTGTAGAGAGCTAAGTTATGGCTGTGAAGAAATCTTTTTAATAGATAAAAATAGAGAAAGAAAATCATGTCAGCGCTGGCCGGGGCGGACGGCGCGCGAGGCCGCCGCGGCTCTGGGCTTGGGCTGGCGTGGGAGGGCGACCTCTGGTGGGCAGCAGAGGGCGGTGCGGCGCAGGAAGCGGCCGCCGCCTCCTCCGCCGAGGGTTCTAGAAAGCTCTGAGGCGGTGAGAGAGAGAAGTGCGGAGCCCCGGCCCGCCTGCGCCCGCCCTGGTGGAGCCCTCAGCGGCCTGGGAGAAGACCAAGGGCCGCTGACTGACCGCTGCCTGTGTGTGAGGCCCGTGGGGGACCCCCTGTTTGCTGGCTGGCGGAATTGGGGATACTGCCGGCCCGGGACGCGGTCCCCCAGCAGGGGTGGGCTGCTGGCTTGCTTCACCTCTGCCCTTTGTGCCTAAAGCCAGGCAGAGAGTGCAGCTTCTCTCAGTGTTTGTGAAGGAATGAGCCCCTGCCTTCGTTGTTCCTTGCCTCACCCTCCTAGGGCCTAGGCTCTGGGCCGGGTGCTTCAGGTATGCACATACACAAAGACAAATACATGCACTACATACATATATGTGTGTGTGTACATATATATACACATATATTCCTATACAAACTATATATATTCACACAATTTGTAACACTTTAAACATCAAATACTAAATATATTGTTAGCATATGTGGTATGTATATTTTATATATTGTGCTTTAGACACAAATATTATAATATTTGGCATATTATTTTTCATTTGGACCAAGCCCTGTGAGAAGGTCATGGTCATTCCATTTCTTTGGATGTGGAAAGACATAAGGAAGAGGCCTGGAGGCAATAAGAAGAGGCTGCTTCCAGCTGAGGCTTTTGCTCTGTCCCTGTCTAAAGTCCTTGCCATTCTGTTGTGTTGCTGCAAATTTGACATCTAGTCACTTTTAAGAAAAAGAGTTTTATTTAATTTAGATGAAAATCGGAGGCAGAGGAGGGCTTGTAGATGCCCTTGGAAGCCCAGGCTGGGAGGGTTGAGGCTCGGAGATGGGGACTCAGCTGGGCTGTCCTAGGCAGGTCTCAGGAACTCAGCTGTGTGAAGCATTGCCTGTTGCGTCCTCGTCTGCGCACGTTAGCAGAAAGCTGGGATTCAGTGTGGAGTTGGAACTCAGACGCAGGGACTCTGCAATGCCGTACAGGAGACCCAGGTGGCACCCTAATGAATCCACCCAACTACTGCCATTTCGTTAGGCTGTTGACAGGCTGTTTGGCACTTGGAGCAAATGTACACGGTAAGTTAGAGGAAGAAGGGGCTGACGTTGTGGCACTCTGGGTTAAGCTACCACCTATGACCTGGCACTCACTGTGAGCTCTGGTTAGAGCCCTGGCTGCTCCCTCTGATCCAGCTCCCTGCGCATGCTCTTGGGAACAACTATGGAAGATGGCCCAATGCTTGGGCCCCTGTCATCCAATGTGGAGGAGTGGAGTCCCTAGCTCCTGATCTCAGCCAGGCCCGGCCCTGACTGTGGAGCCCATCTGGGCGAAGAACCAGCAGATGGAAGGTCCTCCCCCACTCCCATAACTTTGCCTTTCAAATAAAATAAATATTTCAAACAGTGAAAAATTCCCCCTAAATCGTAAAATAAAGGCAAGTATACAGTTTAGTTTTAACTTAGATACGCAAGTGAGCTTTGAAAGCAATCAGGAAAACATTTGTAAGCTACTTTTTGACACTTCAAGCCATAAATTAATTTGTATTATTTTAAATATTATCTTGGCCAAATCTTGCTGTTGTGATATGATGGACTAAGTAGTTTAAACATCAGACATTTATTTCTCACATTCTAGTGGCTCAAGCTTTGAGATCAAGATGCCAGCATGGCTAGGTTCCTCTTCGTTTTTTTTTTAAATGTTCATTTATTTAGTTCATTTTCACGAAAGGCAGAGCAACAGAGCAAGTGCCAGGGAGCCAGCTAAACAGAGGGAGATGTCTTCCATCCTCTGGGTCATGCTCTGAATGTTTGCAGCGGACGGGGCTGGGCCAGGCCGCACTCAGAAGCCTGGAATTCTTGCTGGGTCTCCCGCATGGATGGCCAGGGTCCAGGCGCTCAAGGCATCATCTTCTATAGCCCAGGCTATCTGAAGCAGAGGAGCCAGGACTTGAACCAGCACTGCAGTGTGGGATGCAGCCGCCCAGGCAAAGTGCATTCCACTGCACCACAATACCTGCTCCGTGCTTGGGTTCTTGGTGATGACACTTTTTCCTACGCCTTCTCATGGCGCAGAGAAAGAAGAAAGAAGCTGCCCGTTCTTCTCTTACGGTGATGCCAGTCCCATCAAGTGGGCTCTGCTTGCATGGCCTGGTTTCTTAGGTTCGAAGGATTACATAATTGGGTGTTAGGATTGCAGTGTAAGAATCCGGAAGTGACATAAGCACTCAGTCCTGACTACAGGAGTATATCTGGTAGGGATACCTCAGTAGAAATGAAGGGGAGATTCGAAGTCTTTGTCATGAAAAAAAAAAAAAAACCTGGGTGTGTTTTTCCATTTGCTACTTTTAGTCAGCCAAGTTTCCCATTGATGGGAAACTCACTGTGTTCAGTGTGTCTTAGGACTTTTCAGATCGAATGTTTGCAAAGCCATCAAGCACAAAAGGATTGGTTAGAATTTGCTGATCTGGTTTCTGCTTTGTGCCCGTGCTGTGTCCTGTGTCCCAGTGACGGTAGAATATTCTCGTATTAGGGACATGGATTCATGGATTAGCTTTGTCACACGGAGCTGTGTGGCTTTAGACAAGTCATCCTCTCCGAAGCCCTGTATATGTTTTGCTAAGTTGGACTAGATGGAAGTTATAGTCTTGGTGTTGCTGTCACCAGCGTTTGGTGAGCCTCTTAGCTCCAGAATCCCGAGAGATCTTGCCGTCTTAGGAGTCCTCTGCCTGCCCCACCTTCTCCATTGTGCGAGTTATGTTGAGGAAGCAATGATGATGGCCTGGTGAGGCTGCAGCATCGGGCACTGTGTTGTGAACCTGATCCCAGCATTTACCAGTGGGTATAGGAGCCCAGGGTTGCTCTCAGTGTGCAGTGTGACTTCGTTTCTTTCCTCCTTTCCCTTCTGGGCTCAGAGTGAGAGCAGGTGATACAACAGACGGTCTTCCCAACCTAACACTTTAACTTGAATTTTGCTATAAATTTAGAAAGTGTGAGAGATCGAGAGAGTGAGCACACATACACTTGCTAGTTGATTCCCTAAATATCTGCAGCAGGTGGGGTGAGTTCAAGGCTGATGCGACACTCAGCTTACGTCTCCCTTGCGTGTGTCAGGAATCCAATTGCTGGAGCCATAACTGATGCCTCGCAGAGTCTATTTTCGGATTAAGATGGAGTTGGGATTCAGAGGTTCGAGTCAACTCAGGCACTGGTGTGAAGTGTGCCTTAACGGTCAGGCCAGTCAACCTCTGCCCCCAGCCAGGTACTTCTGACTCTGTCTTTATAGCCATCTGACTTCTGTTGCTTCAGAATGTGTGAGTGGCTCAGCCTGACCGATGATTACTGGGTTTATTGCTATCATAGCAATATTGCTCAGACTGTAATGGTGATGTATATTATTTAATAGCAATATTGCTCTTGCTACCGTGTGAGGGGCTTTTTATGTAGGCTCTGCCTCTCTTTGGCTGCATAATAATATACCCCCAAATTCCGTGGCTTACTTTATGTCTTTGCAAATCAGCTGTTGGATCAACTATTTGGCAAAGGCTTAATTGGATGCTTCTGCCACTGGCATTGCTTTGGGCCTGTTATGCAGTCACGTTATCCAGAGGTCGCACTGGGGTTGGATAGTCTAAGATGACCTCATTTGTTTCTGGAGCCGAGTGGTGATTGTAGTCTGAACTGCACGTCTCTGACATTGTAGCATAAACAGTTGCTCATGGGAGGAGTGTTTCCAAGAGCACATGCTTCATGAGGTGTTAGCAAATAAGTTTTCAGGTCCTACTTATATCATCTGTATTGATGTCCCTATGGCCAAAGCAAGTCACATCCAAAATGCAAAGCAGATGGAAAAGGTGGCTCTCCAATGTGTGAATATAAAAAAAACACATCTCAATTTTCTCACAGTCTAGTGCACAGGTCTTAGTATCTTGTCTCCTTAATGTTTCAGTTCATATCTTTGATAAAGCAAGCTCTAGAATCTGTTAATCCTTGGTCTGCTAACAAGGTGCTGGCTCTTTTTTGTAGACTGACTGTTAAATACATTAGGAATATTGCTGTCAGCTAAAGTGAAGTTTGTCTCAAACTTTTGTGAAGTTAGTTTTGATTTTTAATAGACTTTTTAAAAGATTAATTTATTTTTATTAGAAAAGCAGAGAGAAGGAGACACAGATAGAAAGATCCTCTCTCCACTGGCTACCTCCCCAAATGGTTGCAATGGCTGGAGCTGAGCCGATCTAAACCCAGGAGCCTTTACTGGATCTCCCATGTGAGTGCGGAGTCCCAAGGCTTTGGGCCTTCCTCCACCCCACTCCCAGGCCACAAGCAGGGAGCTGGATGATAAGCGGAGCAGCCAGGACATGAACTGACATTCACGTGGGATCCTAGTGCATGCAAGGCAACGCAAGGATTCAGCCACTGAGCCATTGTACTGGGTCCTAATTGATTCTTGACATGTGTAGAATGGTCCTTTACTCTACTTACATTTATGCGTCTCAAAAATATCTAGATTTCTTTTTATTTGGATTTACTCACAA